ATTAATGCATTTTTCATTTTTATACACATAGACATTAACAGGAGGGGAGAGAGCCAATGAACAGTGAGAGTGGTGAGTGGGGTCCAGACAGTGACAAAATCTCCTTTTCTCTGTCTCTCACTCACATATTTTGTCAGCAGAGAGGTCATACCTAACCTTTAACTATACGTCTACGTACATCACGTGCACACATATGTCATCATTTACAAAAAATTATATAAATCTTCAGCTTGTGTCTTTCAAATGGAAAAATAAAAAACAAGCTTGATAAGCTCGTAAATGCAGAATCCTGATGACTCACAATGCATTTGTGATTTGAACACAAGTCATTTTAATCCAGCTCAGTTTAACGTCTTCCTCAGGTTTGGTACATAAGCTGCGAGCCCGAGAGGGCGACTGAGGCAGGAGGTGGACGAGCAGTTTGGGAGATAACATGTAGGTGCTGCCTAACAGAGACACATAGTCGCGGTTCTATCCCGTCAGAGGACTTTCTATGACTGGGAATCTGAACCCTGACATTTCTTGATTTATTCTAACTTATGTTTGTTCACCATCCAAAGTTATTACAGAGGGTTTTTTGTTCGCACCACACACAAGACTGGGTACCAAAGAACAATGTAAACACACTTAAAACTTAGAATGTGTGTCCTACCCCAGTATCATGCCTCCCACATCCATACCAAGAAATGCTCATGTGTTGATCTGGTATAATCTTCTGTGTGTTCCACATGCACAGGGAACAAATGGACAACAAACAGAAAGTGACAAGGGGCACATTTCACTGACATACATATTCAGCATGTAAAATCAATGTTGGGGATTAGGATGTATTGATCTGAATATAAAAGCTGAATATTGTTAAGTCACTATTGATGCCACCTGGGCAGACCAGGAGAATGAATACCATTATCTATGAAAATCAATGACACTAGTGTAGAGAGGATTTAAATAACTTTGTCTTTTAGTCTTTAGCTACAGCAACCAGGCAACTTTTATTGTGTATATAAATGTGTCTGTAGCATTTATTTTTATTCAAGCAGTGCTACACGTTATTCAGTTTTAATAAAAGTTGTGATGTATCAATATTGTATAGAGGGGTTAGTGCCACTGAAAAATGTTTTTAGGTCATGACTTTGTTTTTTCTTTCTACCAGAATTCTCTGGTGAGCCTGAGAGGTCAAACATGCTACAGCTTAAAAACATCACCAAATAGAAAAATGCAATATTTTAAACACAAAATCTAAGCAAATACATTAGCAATGACAACAGCTGCAGAAGTGATAGAAACCAAAGGATGTGAAGGATTGCACTGAGACAAGGATTCATCAGTGTTGTGACTTTTTTTCCCCCACTCGATAAAAGTTAACGTGAGGGTTCCTGATGGTTAGGGACAAATGCAATCGCATGGCAGGATGCTGTAAACGGACCAAACTTCAGTCAGGAGAACAACTGAGATAATCCATCCACAATACGAGGTTAGTCATTAATATACTGCTGCAGGGGCTGGGCTGTAGTTAAAGACTGAGCTTTAAAATGAACAGTGATGATAAAAACTGAGAGAGGCCGACAGTGATCACTGACTGTTTTTAGGGGCTTGTTGAGATTAAATAGAACAAGATACAAAGCATTAAAACATGTTAAAAACACAACAGCCTTAATAAACACAGAGTAGTTCGGACCTGGAAGCAGGTTTCATACATCATCACTTAACAACTGGATAGTCAGACTACTGAGACAAATTCTGAGAACAAAAGTTAACACGTTTTCTCACTTTGACTGTTTGTTTTTAGTGACCACAGTTATCTGTAATACTGAGAAGGCCAAGTGGCGACTTGGGGGTTGTAGAGCAAGCTGTACACAAAATGTCAAACTTTTAGCAAGCCATGACGTGATAATGCTATTCATCTCAAGCTTTTTCCCCCCTTCCTTTGACTACATCCAGTCTTTCAGCCCCTTTTTGCGCTCCACAAACTCCTACGAGGAACATGCTACATTTTAACAACTACGTTGCTCCAGTAAGTTCACTAACCTGAAGCTTGAAAAGTTTTTAGAAGAAGCTCAAAGGCTCTCAGGGGATGCTTGAATGGAAACTCCCCCACCCACACACGGATACCTTACAGGTCACAAAGGGCTTTTGCAGCGATGCGTTATGTCTGTTTAGAGAGCTCTTAGGCTGGCTAGGCTCCAAAATGTCAACACCCACAACTCCCGAGGTCATTTTATGAAGAGCACTGAGGAAGCACTGAGGACCTCCTACAACACACATATGTGGGCACAGCCGCACATACAACCTGCCGCTGTCCCCATCTGCTGATAGCACACACACATGCTCGGTACAGAGGGGGGTTTGAACTTTGTCCAAGTGGTTCTAGCTGTGTCTACTGCTGCTGATGTCTGAATACCTTTCATTAAAGGTTTGTGTGTTACCTTGTGCAAATTCATACCAGCACTGTGGCACCAACAGACCCTTTTTATTTAGCCTTGAGCTAACGCCAACAACAAATTGTTTAAATGAGTGGTTATGCCATCAAACGAGGAGATCCACGTGGGAGTCGCCACACTGACAAGCAAGGTTGAAGCCTGTGGCTTTGAAGGCTCGGGTAATCTAAAATGAGAAGTGTTACTAGCAGTGATCCTGTGCCATAAGGAAAAGATAAAAGAGCAGCCAAAAGACTCTCATGCAGTCAGATTTGCAGAGGGTGATATGAAATGCTAAATGAGCAGCAGAGATTTAACGGAAAACTGCCGGTTCATTCTTTTCATTGCGAGTTTGCCTTTCCTGGAAATTGTGTAAACACTGTTTGTGGATTGCTGTGTGTTTTTTGACACAACCATGCACTCATTGTGCTCGTCTCAGCCACTTAAGGGCCATGGAACACAGGGCATCACAGACCAACAACAATAACTGAGGCTACACCGTGTCTGCACAGTACAGATACTTCCTGAGTGGAGACCAGCTCCTCTTGGGTTTCATCTTCACATCATACAGCAGTTGAGTCACAGACACTCAAAGATACATCTCGAGGAGTGCTTACACAGGCATGAAATATTCAGGAAAGTGTCGTGTTCACACTCCAGAAGAACTGAGTGCCATGTAAGAGTCATACTTCTGCCTTATTTTCTCAGCACTATAAATGGTCTAATAAAACAAAGGCAACAACGTCTGTTGTTTCTCACAGGTGTGACAGTTGCGTTCATCTTGTATGGTAGCTGTTTCCACATGCACAAATTGGATAAGAGTTATAGGAGTGCCTTTCATTATGGTTGTCCGTGTATAAATTCTTTAAATTAATTGGTTCTGTCATTTCAGAGTCATTTAACCAGACCTGTAACCCATGAGAGGGACGTACAAAGAGAGACGTGTAGCCACAGTTTAACGTTTAGCAGCTCTTTGTAATATTGACCCAATTTATCCATGTCAAATAATATCAAATTAAATTACTTGTCACCATCATAACCTCTGCTTTAAAATCAAACCTTTTCCTGGGAATTATATTCATGCATCTCTTTTTTTCACTAAACTGTTTTTCCTGTTTTGCTGCTTCTAATTCTACTTAATCGTCTTCTTTTAACATTTATTTATGACTCATCTAAGAGAGACAAATTTAGAGAGGTTAAGAGATACAGGCGATAATATATACAAAATATTTTTTCACTATTGCAACACTACACCTTTTCAGGGTAAATAATAAAGCATGAGAAATTTCTTTGATTGTATTTATGGAACTCAAGCTTTTTTTTTGCCTGTCCCATTTGGTTCTTTAGCCATCAGAATTATTGTCTGAACTCGAGCTTTGCTTACTTTTTTAGTATTAAGTTTAGTCCTGCAATATTTATTAAGATTGAACTAAAACTACTGTAATGCTCCATACACTGCAAAAAATGCATTTGCACTCGTAAACATGAAGCAATAATTTGGAGTGAAATGTAAGTGAAATATATGAAAATTTATTTTATTTTCATTATTTCAAATAATTATTCATTAAGGAAATTTTGCTTGGTATAAACTGAATGTATATCAATCATGTATATGTTGTTCTGGCTCCTTAAGAGTCACCACTCATGTTATGTAGTGTTATACAAGTTCATGCAATCTTTATTCGTTTCTGGCACACTGTTCATTTTATTTTGACATTCTACCGGAAGTGCTACTTCTCATTACTTCCTGTCTAACGGGAGAAGGACAGTTTGCTACTCCTGTGCCTGCCTATGCTACCTCTTAAGCCAGCACAGTCTATAAGTTGGCAGTATTGTTGTGTTTTATGTTAGCACTAACTGCCGTGTGTTGTTTGTGATATTTTGAGAAAGCAAATTGACTCAATGATGTGCTTTATTAGTCATTAGCCTAAACGCTAATTAGCGCTAGCTAACCGCTAACGTTAGCTTGTTAGCTTGTTTCGTTCTGCTTTGCTTTGCATAGTAACAAGTCATAGCATCTTCTAATTGTAAGAATGTTTGCTTATATTAGCTCACATGGGATATTTTGTGTTTGTTTACAGTTTTACCATTCATCCATTCATGTATTTCGACAAAGCCATGCTATGCATCCAATCAAATAAATCCACCAGAAAGGAACAACGGTGTGGTTTTTCTACATGGGATGATGGTTGTCTGTCTGCCTAGTTAAGTGCGAGGGCAGAACATATGTCATTGGACCAAATTTAATCAAATCTGACATTTTACAGTGTAAATTTTCCATGTCACAAAATGGAAAAATATAAACACTGAAATGACTTAAATTTATTATTTTGGGGCATAAATAGTTTATTCTGATGACTACCTACATTTAATCGTGTGCTAACTAAAGATATGAATCTGGGACTTTGTGTGGCTCCAGTTCAGTTTAGCTAAGTCCATAATTTGCTATTGATGTATTATTACTGTATCTGCAGTTTGTTCGCTTGTATTCTAAACTAAGTAAAGTATCAGCACTGAAGTAACTTGCAGTATGTTTTTACTGTTTGGCTCTTATTTTCTCAGTTCTGTGAAACATGTTGTGAACACCCATTTGCTGATGATCAGTTAAAAAACCTTACCACACATACAGTGTGTGCTTATGCATGGTGCTCAATAGATGCGCGTCTACAAAAAGTCCTGCAGCATCAAAAGGATCAACACTGATGAAAACGACAGATACTTTACATGCATTTATTCACATGAGCACTGCTACGTAAGTGACAGTCCTTTTAACTTTGTTAAAAAAACAAGCAGTGTTTTTCTGTTCCAATGGCTCCAATGAATAGATTGTGAAAGTTGGCAGTTTGAGAATAGGCAGCTAAAACGTTCAGTCTTTCCTTCTTTCTTTCAGGTTACAGTTTGTCACAGGGCTGGAACAGAAAGACATCCAACCATTCGCACCTGTGGGCAATTTAGAATCACCAGCTTACCTAACCACACTAACTGCATGTGTTTGGACTGTGGAGTACCCAGAGGGAACCCACGCAAACACGGGGAGAACATGCAAACTCCACGTTGGAAGGCCGAGCGAGTTGATGGATTCAAACCCAGGATCTTGTTACTGTTACTGCTGTACTGCTGCCCATGTAATTATTGCTTCAGTATGCTCATGAAGTTTCACAAAGAACTCAGATCTCTCTGTTTAAAACCAGTAATTCTTCTCTTTTGGACCACGCAGGATCATGTTTCTTTGAATGGACAAGCATTAATTTGTGGGGGCAGGACCATGTGGTAATATTACTACCTGACATGCTGAGTGTTTATCTCCACGGCATACACTGGATTGAATGGCAGACTGGGGAAGCTCACCAGCAGAAATACTTCACAGATTATCACCTTAGCCCCTGGACATATGAATCAAATTTCAAGAAAGCTGATTAACTGGTTGAAATATTTAATAAAAAACATGTTTTGCCTTTAAAAAGAAATCTACTAGTTTGTCCAGTTTGTCAGTACTGACTGAAGAAAAATCCCTTGGAGAGTTTTGTGCAGCTCGGAAAAACAAACATGTTAAAGAGGAGGTCATGACTCAGAGTTGATTCACAGGAATTGCTAATAGAAATCTCTGGATAATTAGCATGTGTAGTCAGTAGCTAAGCCAGTGTGTGCTGACTACAGCACCTGTAATGTAAATGAGCTTGCACAGTACTTTCTACAAACTGTTTAACCTTAGAGTCATTACAGTACATCCCAGATCCTCCAGCATCTGCGTGGCAAAAAGTGCTAAACATTACAAACAACTTCAAGTAAGAAGTAGCTGAGGTGCAAAAGAGAAGTTTTCTGAAGATGTTTATAAAAAAATCTAAATAATGCTCCTAAAACAATATGAAGGAATCACTACTGCGAAAGTGAGAAACTGATGACAGTGCTCTTTGTAATGGAATTGAATAGTGCATGTGTGTGTGTGTGTGTGTGTGTGTGCGCGCGCGCGTAGATGTGTGTGTGTGCTCAAAAACAAGGAGTGTAAAACAGAGAAAATATTCATTGCTTAGCTGAGGGGTGTAAGATTTGTGTTTGCAAAGGACTGGGAAATATAATGATGTCTGTTTCATATTCACTTATCTGTATGCTCAGAGACAGAAAGAAATGGAGAAAGATGCTACAGGGAGAAAGAAAGCAGTTATGTAAAAAAAAAAAGAATAGACAGAGGCAAGACATGGGCAAATAATCTAACAATATTCATTACAAGCAGACAGAAATTATGAAAGAGTTTTATTAAAAGGCTCTAAGGTGGTGTAACATAGATTCTGGCAGCTTTATTGGATAGCTTTAACTCCATGAAAAGAGCACTAAGGACACAATGACAGGGGTCTTAGATCTGTCGTCACACTTTGCTAGTACCAGGTTGGACCTGCTTGTACCTCCAGAACTGGTTTCATTTTAATACTGTAGCTTCAACAAGCTGATAGAAACAGTCCTCAGAAGTTTTGGTTCATATTGAGATGATAGCACCACACAGGTTAGTCAGCTGCAAATCTACAATATGATGAAAATCTCCTGTCCCATCACATCCTCACGGTGTTCCATTGGATTGCACCAACACTTTGTTAGGCTGTAGCATAAAGATGATGCTAAGTTGGTACTAAGACCACCATTGCACCACCAACAGCAGTCTGAACCATTGATAGAAGCCACAATGAATGCAGTCTTTCATATTTACTTGCACCAAATTCAGACCCTACCATCTGAATGTAGCAGCAGAAAATCAGACCATGGGAATGTTTTTCCACTTATCTCATATTTTTCTGAGCACAAGTATCCTAAATTTCCTCCATTTAGGTCTCCTGCAGTTCTATCTCATCTGATCTTCTGCATACCTTGGGTATAATGAGTGGTTGTTTGAATAATTGGCTCCCTATCAGCTGGAAGCAGACGGGTCATTCTCCTCTGACCTCTGCATCAACATGTCATTTTCCCCCAGAGAAGTGCCGCTCACTCAGTGTTTTCTCAGTTTAAGACTGCTCTCTGTAAACTCTAAATATGGTTCTGCAGGAAAATCCCAGCAGATCAGCAGTTTCTGAAATACTCTGGTTCCAAAAACCAAATCATGTTCAAAATGGTCACCTTTCTTCCACATTCTGATGCTCACTTTGAACGTCAGCTGCTCATCCTGACATTTGTACATGCCTAACTGCATTGAGTCCATGTGATTGTTTAATTTGATAATTTATGTTAATTTGAAGCTGAACTTCTGACAGAAAACCCGATCACTGCAGTCGAGAACATGGTATCATAACCATCACCTGAACCTGAAGTTCCAACAGTGGGAGTTATTCCAGTTAAAAATATTCTAAGGGAGGCATATGACTGGTTAGCATATTATACTGGAAGTAATAGCGTCCCATCCTCACACTGTATCAGACACACATCTTTGCATACACATGTGTGACACTGTGAAAGCAGTTTTTGTAGTTTTTTGTAATTGTGATGCTGGAAGCAGCAGACACACAAAGAAGGAATCGCTGCACGGCACACACTTCAAAAAGATCTTCCACACGCTGTAACACAAAGGTTCTTGGACTCAGTACTGCTTTACTCTTTCTTTGTCCATTTGTTTGCTGGTCAGTCCTAAACTGGCGAACCACAACGCCGTGATTGAAGTAAAACAAACAAACAACAAAAGCAAGATTGTCTGTTTAGGACTAATCTCAACTGCCTCTGAGGTAAAGACACTTGAGATTATGTTTTGCCCTTAAACAACACGAGAAGGACAAAAGATGGCTCTCTGTCAAGCTTTATATTCTGCCTTTAGGGTGCCAATTTTCACCATGCTCCAGTGAACACAGATGATGATTTTGCTGAGGAAATGAAGTGACAGGCAGCACGCTCATCATTCCAACATCCCATTAGCACCAGAGAAACCTCCCCACTGGATTTTGCCTCAGTGGATTAGCTCTAAAGTGAGCCTCTTCTCTAGGGCTCAGTCCCCGTATTGCTCCACAGCTCCAGGACAAGGAGGTCTGAAGACCACTGCGATACCTGAGAGGGACGCTGGTACTTAGCAGGAGATGTAGGACTTGTTTGTTCAGGCTTTGTGTGGCTGCTGCCCTCAGGACTGCTGCAGTGTGTTTACTAGCTATGAAGACGTGAGCAAATAAACTTTTTGTAGGAGCCTAATGAAGCATCACTCTGACTGACACTCTGATTTCAGATATTTATGTGCAAAATAAATAATAATATTAAAATAATATCTCTCTCTCTCACGCTCCCTTTTCAGAGTGAAGATGCTTTCTCTCGGCATCCTTTCCCCCCAAAAAAACATATTTGTTCAATTTTTTTCAAATTTTACTGTCATGAACTTCAATATTAAGCATGCTAATTGAGGCAAAAGTTTTGCGAGATCTTGCAAATGTTTTGGCCGCATCCTTCAGAGGCCACCTGCTCGAAGCCAACTGGGAGGTCAAGGTACAATGTGCCGGGAGTGCGGTGTTCCCCCCGGGCTGTAGTGAGCCTGGACCTCCCGTGGCCAACTCCGTGACGCCCTCGGTTCCTTTAACAGTTTCCTCACCGACACCGTTAGTGACCTGGGTGTATTTTTGGATAGCTCTTTTAAATTCAACAAACAAGTGTCTTCTATTGTTAAATCTTGCTTCCATCAATTGCGTCTTATTAGCAAGGCCAGACATTATGTCCCGCATAGGCACCTTAAAAAGCTTATCAATGCCTTCGTGACATCTAGGTTGGATTATTGCAACTCCCTTTACTTCGGTCTTAACTCAACTCTTCTCCATAGACTCCAAATTGTTCAGAACGTGGCTGCTCGTCTCCTTACTGGTAGTGGGCGCCGTGTCTCTATTACCCCTGTCCTTGCTGATCTGCATTGGCTTCCCGTTAATTATCGCATTCAATTCAAAATCCTGCTGCTTACCTTCCGAATTATTAACAATATAGCGCCAAGCTACCTCATTGAGCTGCTTAGATCATACAGTCCTACTAGAGCATTAAGATCATCTTCCCAGTCACTCTTGGTACTGCCGAGATCTCGGCTGAAGACTAGAGGTGACCGCGCCTTTGCCTTGGCTGCACCGGATTTATGGAATAACCTCCCCATCGCTATACGCGAGTCCGACTCCATTCAATCCTTCAAATCGCAGTTAAAAACCCACTTATTTAGCCTCGCCTTTTCTAGCAGTTAACGCTTGCTTGTTAGTTAGCTTAATGCTTATTCTTATCTCGGATTAGTCCTAATTACTTTTAATCATTTTTTCATTTTTTGGCTGTTTTATCCTTTACACTTAGTTTTATTTTATGCTTTTATATGCAATTCTTTTGCTTTTGTGTTTTAATGCCATTCAACCTGCTAGCATGTTTTGGTACCTTGCCATAGCCCTCATCCTTCCCTGTTACTTCATCCTACTCTCTTGCGTGTTAAGCACTTTGTTACACCACTGGTTTTTAAATCTGCTATATAAATAATGTTTGTTGTTGTTGTTGTTGTTGTTAACTTCGAGATGGTGGGTAACAGACTTTTCAGAAAACGTCAGAGCACTTTTGCAAATATGTGATGTCTTGATAAACCAAGCAGATATTCGAAGTTTACACAGCTACATTCATGGCTGAAAATGTCTTAAAAGTTCATTTTGTGACCCAGAGAGAGTAATATTAAAATTAAGTCGCTGCCGCCATTGTTGGAAACGAATTGGCTGGGCTGCACTATGAATTCTGGGATAGGTTGCGTCACGAAGGATACACCGACTTGGCCTTCAAATTCGACCTGCAGATTATATAAACAATTTTATGCAATGTAAGCGATAAAGGGCAAAGGAAGACACGGGGCTTAAATACACAAGGAAGTAATGAGGAAAAGGGAAACACAGCTGGAACTAATCAAGACATAATGAGATAAGGGAGGCAAAACTAGATACACTGGCACAGGGACCGTTGAAGTGAAACAGGAGACATTCACAAAGACGCAGACTTGACACTGAGACATGAGACACAACTGACTGGGGAGACAGAGGGAACATGGAGACAAGCATGATTAGACGAGGAACACAGGGAAGGCAAAGTAACAGAAACCTAAACTAACTAAGAATAAACACGAGCAGAAACCCACGAATGACAACACTGCAAGAATATAAATTAACAAAGCAGGAACTCCAGCAACACTTGAGGGAAGATGAACAACTTTAATAATTGACCAACGCGTTTCGGCTTGTGGCCTTCATCAGGGCCATGAGAATTATTAAAGTTGTTCATCTTCCCTCAAGTGTTGCTGGAGTTCCTGCTTTGTGAATTCCTTCGTCCCCTTCGTGCACCTTGGAAGCAGGTGAAGTTGTGACAGAATTTTTTTTTTGCTGAGAATATAAATTAACCAATAAACACAAAACACTGGGTCAAAGACTCAGAAGCATGACAATGGGAGGCAGTTTCTCTTTGTTGTTTAACTTTAA